AATAAATAGGTTTCTGTGAATTTTGTTATTTATTATTTGTCATTCAGATATTAGAGTCATAGAAACTAAGTTGACAATTAACGAGTTAATGTGAGCGATATTTTTCACGAATAATAATTAGGTCATGATCGATAAATTATCGAACGTTCTTTCTTCAGTATGCGAAGAAACGCGTGCTCGTACACCAATTTTGAACGCCAAAAGAAAAGAGGCGATCGCTTCTAATTAATCAATGTCACCGTATAATCATAAATAAATTAGACTTAACCCGCACGAAAAAGAAGAGAAGCAAAAAAAAAAGAAAAAAGCTTAAAAGCTTAATTTTATCAATCTTTATTTTAATTACGTAGAGAGAAATAATATTATCGCGTCACGAGACTCTTTTTGACGAACAAATTTTTTTATCGACCAAGAAAAGAGAGGAAGAGAAAAATTTAATATTTTATATTATATTTTATAATAAATATAAATAAAAAGGCAATTTAATATTTTAGAAAAGAAAAGTTTAACATTTTATATTATATTTTATAAACGAAACACTCGTTACGTAACGCAAGTGTAAGTGAATAATCGTAACGTTTTAATTAAATCGTCATCGATCAAATCAATCGATAAGGGTATCGATTATGTCGTCATCGGGATTAATCTCGCGTGTAATTTGTCGGTCGGCCCGCATTAAACTCTGTGATTGCCCGATAAAGTGTGTAATCGAGTTCATCGATTCGCGATATTTCCAAGCCAACAGGCGGCGGCTGCGTCACCGATACGCACATTTCCCTCCTCTCCCTGCGAATCTCCCTCGTGCGCCCGTGGAGTTGAATTGATAATTCAATTTTTTTCCCGCGTGTCGTTTTTCTCTTCTTTTTTTAAAAACGATCGATGGACACGTCTCTCTCTCTCTCTCTCTCTCGACGTTATGCAACGTATTAAGATAGGTCAAGGATAAATTTTGCACGACTGGCGCGTTCCAGGAGGAAATTGGATTGAAGAAGTTTAGATAGAAGATTTATACAAGATTTATAGCCCGTTTTGAGGTTCTTTGTGAAGGAGGAAAGAAATTCTGTCTTCTGGACGGAACGGTGTCTATGAATGATAAAATGTGAGGTGGTTCCTTGATTTCGATCCTGAATTATTTTACAGTTTTCTATTTCTTGGATTTATTAGATGTCTTTTAAATAATTTAATTTCTTTTTCCTCCAACAAATATTATTGAAAAACTTACTTGTGTTCAAAATAAACATCGGTAATAATAATTCAACTTCATCGACTGTAGAATATAAATATTTGATCCAAGCAATTGGAGATGATATTTCAACACTATAACTATCATATATCGTTCTTTTTTTTTTTAAACTACAATTATAATACATAGACATAATCTAAAAGAATACACCTAAGCTGAATATCCATCAAAAGTCTTGAAACACGCATGGTAAATGTCGTACTTGATTACCTCATTCATCGATTTAATGTAAGAGATGTAAATATTATAAACGATAAGACGATGAACGAATAAAAATACACGCAAGAACATATACAATGTGATGTAATTTTCTTATCAAAAAATACGATCAAAGTAATCTAAAATCTATTATCTAGGATAAATCATTATGATAAACTACTGGGTACTGATCATCTTCAATTATTATCACGAATGACGTGTTCTAACTATCGTTAACTATCATTGTTCAAGTTCTTTAAATTCTTCTTTGGAAATTACCACTCGATAATTTTTTATCTTCTCGGTAAGGAAAACTTTCTCGTATCTTGGAAAAGTGATCGGAAAATTTTACGATCGAAATAACGTATATCTGATGTCAGTCGAAACGCAATCTACAAGGCGTTTGAGTTAATCGAAATGTATTATAAAATGAGTTGTTCTGAAAATTATACTCTCTTTGTGTAAATTGTAAAAGTAATGAATTGATCTTTTTTTTGCTTTAATTGTTATATCGTGAATAAATTATAGGCACGATGGATAATTAATCTTTGTTGAATTCTTGTTGTCAATAAAATTTTGTTATACGATTTTGTTAATGAAAGCAGAGATAAATTTTCGAAAAGAATACTATCCACGATGTTTCGATCTATTTATAAGAATTGATAATGATTAATCGAGGCTTAACGTTAATATCAAGAAAATATAAATGTTCTAAAAATAGAAAAAGTTGTAAACTTAAATAGGCTTACAATATTTAATAATAGATTGGAAAATAGATATTGATTCGAATTTTTAATTCTATTATCTAATTCTTATTTCGATATTATTTTCTTTGTTAATTAATAATTTTTTATTTGTCGACAGAAAAGAAATCATTGAAAGTGTTTTTATAAATATCGATAAGTTAAGAAAATAACTTAAAATAATAATAAAATTTCTTTTGTACGTTTAAGAATAAGATCCTCTTAAGGCATTATCTGTATAATACACAAAAAAGTGTATAAATAAACTCACTATACTTTTATTGTTAATTATCAATTAATTCTCGATAAAACAGGCTGACAACAAAAGTCATATGACGAGGAATATTATTTATTTATTGATCGTTTTAGCTTTTATTCGTTATTAATTGTTAATTAAATATTACGTGACCCGTACGAGACTTTTCTTGTAAACATTCTAAATCGCACGTCGATTGATAACGCTTATCACTAGGATTTTTTTTAAAAGTTTTTTCCCTACTTTCTTCAGATAAAAGCAGAACGAAAAGTTCTCTTTGTTAAAAAAAACTTCTTAGTTCGTCCTTTTCTTTTTCAATTCATAGATTTAAGTGGAATAACCTTTCGCGAAATTTAAAAAGTGAAAAAAAATTCATTTCACAATTTCCAGTTTTCCAAATTCCTCCAATTTAAAAAGAACAAAACCAAGATCCAAGTTGAAACGGAATTCTATATTAATTCATTCCTCAAATTTTAAATTTCTAGTTTAAACCAATTTAAAAAAATTCCCTCCAAAACGTCTAATTTGAAACATAATTCCAATTAGGTTCAATTCTATTATCTCGTGACCATTCATATGTATATATATGATACAATTAAAATTTAAACTAGTCCAAAAAATTCCTTCCAAAACATCCAATTTGAAACATAATTCCAATTAGGTTCAATTCTATTATCTCCATTCATATATGTACAATACAATTAAAATTTAAATCAATCCAAAAAATTTCCTCCAAAATGTTTAATTTGAAACATAATTTCAATTAGATTCAATCCTATCCATCATCACTTCATGATTATTCATATATATATAAATATACAATACACTCTTAAAATTCTCAATTTCCAACTTAAACCAGTCCAAAAAATTCCCTCCAAAACGTTCAATTTGAAACATAATTCCAATTAGGTTCAATTCTATTATCTCCATTCATATATATACAATACAATTAAAATTTAAACCAATCCAAAAAATTCCCTCCAAAACGTTTAATCTGAAACATAATTCCAATTAAATTCAATTCTATCCATAATCATCTCGTGACCATTCATATATATACTTTTACTCAGAATCTGAGAATCGATTTCTCAAATCAGATGTCATGTATCAAATCAGAGTGT